AAAAAACAAATGGTTTTAGCTTTCTTGTTCTTGTTTACCTTATATGATTTCTTATTAATTTTAACTATTTATTGTTCATTCCTAAGGGATGATTTTTTATGAAGTTCAATATCAGATAAACTTTTGCATGTTTTAAATTATTTTGTCTAACTTTATATTTCATTGAACAAGTTCATCATAATCTTTAAAATCAAAATTGTTAGCTCTATATCTAGAAAATTGGCATCTCTGTTTTATCCATTGTATTTCCACTCTCTTTACTATTGCTTTTAAGTCCTACCTATCACCTTTAAATAATTTTTGTATTGTATTCCAGAAATTGTGAACAACTCTATTATAATAGTTTCCAATACTGTTACCTTCTTCCTGAGAGGACCATATCTATTTTTTTCTTTTTAATATTTATGCATATCTATGAGGGAAAGCAAGTGAGCACTCCAGTTCAAATGTTCATTCTTCAAACGTCCACATGGCTTGGGCTGGACTAGGTCAAACTGGGAGCTGGAAACAAAATCTGAGTCTCCCAGCTGGCTTTCAGGGACTCAAGTACTTGAGTAACGAAAGCTGTTTCCCGGTATGCACATTAGCAGGAAGGTGGAACCTGAAGCCAAGCTGGGATTCTAAACAATTGCTTTGCTGTTGGGGGTGGGACTCCCCACCCAGAATCTTAACCTCTAGGCCAACTACCCACTTCATGATTTCCTCTACGTACCTTCATGCTAGGGAGCCTGCAGTGGAGTTGGTAATTCTGGTAAGGTCCCATCTAACTCTAATTTCCCTCTGTTCGTAGCTTGTGGCTTGTAAGACTTTGTCTTGTGGCTTTGTCTCTTTACCCCTTGAAACATTTCAATAGATCAAATACTGTCTTGCACACTTTTGCAGCTTGGCCTTCATCTCTATCTTAACTCAGCTGAAGAACTTGACAAATGTGTTAAGAAGAATTGCTTCTATTTTGATGTCTTCCACATTCAAATTTTGTCAATGCAGCTAGTGCAAGCAACTAATGCTTTGTTCTTTTTTCTCCACAAGTTCTCCTGTGTTTGGACTAGCCTAGATACTGAACTTCAGTGTGTTCCTAACACTTTTAATTTTCCTCAGGTAGGCATATGCAGAATTTCTTTTTTTTTCTTTTTTTTTTTTTTTTTGACAGGCAGAGTGGACAGTGAGAGAGAGAGAAACAGAGAGAAAGGTCTTCCTTTGCTGTTGGTTCACCCTCCAATGGCCGCCACGGCCGGCGTGTTGCAGCCGGCACACCATGCTGATCCGAAGGCAGGAGCCAGGTACTTATCCTGGTCTCCCATGGGGTGCAGGGCCCAAGCACTTGGGCCATCCTCCACTGCACACCCGGGCCATAGCAGAGAGCTGGCCTGGAAGAGGGGCAACTGGGACAGAATCCGGCGCCCCGACCGGGACTAGAACCCAGTGTGTCTGCGCCGCAAGGCGGAGGATTAGACTATTGAGCCGCGGCGCTGGCTGGCATATGCAGAATTTCGATACAACTGGCAAAACAGCCCCTCCATCTCTGATTTTTTTATAGCCGTCAAGTGTTCCTTAAATCAACAGATCTTTAATGGATTTAATAAAATATTTAATTTTTTAATAATTTGTTTAGTTTTTCTAGTCAGATTGCTGCCCAACTATCTTATTCAAGAGGAGAACTTACCATACTCTGATTTTAAATAGGAAAGAATTTATTTGAAACAATATTGAACAGGATATTAAGATTTCAAAGTAATTTTATGGTACTCCATACATATTTATAGAGGAAGTAAGGGACTATTTTTTTTCAAGTTTCTCTACTGTAGGAAAATTTTATTTTAATGTTCATTATCTGCATTAATATCATTAATTATGAAGTTAATCTTACAATTCTTTTTGGTGAACTTAGATTTAGGCAAAGTCCAATTTAATTATGCACTCAGGTTGAAAGCTACCGACTTTGTATTTCTGTTAATGAATATTATTATATTCTAGGTCATTATTAACTGCAGTAATTCTGTTAATCCCTAGATCTTAGAATGGTCTTATGTAGAAAAAGAGCCACAGTTAAATAAGTTTATGAAATTCTGAAAATTATGTTCCTTCTTTTTATTTGTTTATACTATATAAAAAAGGTAAAAGCTTTTGCAGGCTGGTGCTGTAGCATACTAGTTAAAGTCACTGTCTGTGGTGGGTGCATCCCATACGTGTGCCTGCTCCAGTCCCTGCTGCTCCACTTCTGATCCAGCTCCTTGCTAATGCCTTTGGGAAAGCAGGGGAAGATTGCCTGAGTACTTGGGCCCCTGCACCCACATGGGAGACCTAGAAGAAGCTTCTGGCTCCTGGCTTCAATGAGCCCAGCTGTGGCCTTGTGGCCATCTGGGGAGTGAACCAGTGAATGAAAATCTCTCTCTCTCTTTCTCTCTAATTCTGACTTTCAAACAAATAAATCAATCTCTAAAAATAAAAAGGTAAAAGCTTTCAGAAGTCTTACAGGGATGGCATTTGGCACAGTGGTTAAGTATTTGCTGGCAAAGAGCGCATCTCATATCATAGTACCTGATTAGAGCGCTGGATCCATTCCAGATTTCAGCTTCCTGCCGATGTGCATCCTGGGATGCAGCAAGTAATGGCTCAAGTACTTAGGTCTGCCTCCCATGTAGGAGATCTGCTTTGAGTTCCAGGCTCCTAGCTTCTATCTGGCCCAGTCCAGGCTGTTGCGAGCAATTGGGTAATGGACCAACGAAGAAAAGATTTCTGTCTGTCTTTCAAGTAAAATAAAGTAATATAAACTTATGAAGAATTCTTACAGTAAATAAGCCTCTTACTTTTACTTCAGCATTTTAAACTTTTATCAATGGGCTTCTGCGACAGAGTACCGCACACTGGGTTGTTTAAACAGTAATTATTCTTCCACTGCTCTAGCGGTTATAATTTCAGATCAGGCAGTCAGCAGGGCTGCTTCTTCTGAGGCCTCCCTTTTTTGGCTTTCAGATAGCAATCTCTTCCCTGTGTGTCCCCATGGTCCTTCCACTGTGCATGTCTGTCTTAATCGCCTCTTGTAAGGAAACTTTGCATTGGGAACAAACCGAATGACCCTTACTTAGACTTAATGACCTGTTTCAGGCCTTATCTCCACGTACAGGCATACTCTTAGATACTGAGAGTTAGGACTTCAACATACTGAATTTGGGAACACCCAGTCCATAACAAAACAATTTGATTATAATGTCTGCTGACACCTTTCCAAAATAAATTTGTGAAACATGTCTATGTTGTTTGTGTCTTCTAAAAATACATCTCTCATAATTCTCGCAAATGGAAGTATGAGGAAATATATCCGTTTAAAGGCAGAATATTAAATAGCTTTTGATCCACTAAAATCTGCATTCAGCCATCTGAGGAGTACTCTGCTTTTAATTTGCATTTCTTTAATGACCTAAAGGTGTTGAGCAATACTCATGCTAATTTGGCTTATTTGCCATCTGTATGTATTCTTTTACAAGGTTCCTCATATTCTAAATTCTAAATATTCTAAATTGGGCTGTTTATTTTCTTGAGTTTTGAGAGTTCTTCATGTAGTCTGGGTATTAAGCCTATATCAGATATATTATTCATAAATGTTTTCACCTAATCAAGGAGTTCCTTTGTCTCAACAGCGTATTTTATTTTTAAAAAAGATTTATTGTATTTATTTGGAAGGCAGAGTGACAAAGAGAGAGACAAAGATTTTACTTCTGTCGGTTCAGTGCCAAATGGTCACAAAGTCAGAAATGGGCCAGGCTGAAGACAGGAGCCTGGAATTCTTTCCTTCGGAACTCCATCTGGGTCCCACGTGGGTGGCATGGGCTCAGCCATTTGGGCCATCTTTCCCTGGTGCATTTCTAGGGGGCTGGATCAGAAGTAGAACAGCTAAGACTCCAGTCAATGGTCTGAAAAGGGATGACAGTGTTTCAAACACCAGCTTAATTTTTACATTACAATGCTAGCCCCTTAAGAGTATCTTTTGAAGAGCAGCATATTACAAATTTTGATGAGGTTCAATTTATATTTAAAATGTGTCATTTTATGGATCATGTTTTTGGTATTATCATCTAGGAAGTCCTTTTATAACCCAAGTTCACAAAGGATTTATAATATTTTTTCTTCTA